GAGTGAGACTCCAACTCAAAAAAACAAAACAAAACAAAACAAAAAAAGAAAAGAAAGAAAGGGTAAATGTTGTCATATGAAGGGCTATGCAGACTGGCTCCTGAGCCTATTGAGATTCACCTAGCATAAATTGCAGGCTCCTGGCTACTGATAGGTACATAATGTTTATACAATCTTTGTTTTTGAGTCAGAGTCTCACTCTATCACCATCAAGGCATACCCTGAGCTGAGCGCAGTGGCTCATGCCTATAATCCCAGCACTTTGGGAGGCGGAGGTGAGAGGAATGCCTGAGTTCAAGGGTTTGCGACCAACCTGGGCAACTTTGCAAGACCTCATCTCTACAATAAATCAAAAAATTAGGTGGGTGTGGTGGTGCACACCTGTGGTTCCAGCTATTTGGAAGGCTGAGGCAGAAGGATCACCTGAACCCAACAGGTTAAGGCTGCAGTGACCTCGAGCATGCCACTGCACTCCAGCCTGGGTGACAGAATGAAACTCCGACTCAAAAAAAAAAGCCACACTCTGTGCCACACCTGCACACCAAGTCTCCCTTACACTCAGCCTTGGTTTTGTTTTGTTCGAGTCTAAAATCTAAAATGGTTTTGTTTTGTTTTGAGTTGGAGTCTCACTCTGTCACCCAGGCTGGAGTACAGTAGCATGCTCACAGCCACGGCAGCCTTGACCTCCTATGGGCTCAGGCGATCCTTCCACCTTAGCCTTCCAAGTAGCAGCAACCACAGGTATGTGTCACCACACCCTGCTAATATTTCTTGATTTATTGTAGAGATGAGGTCTCGCCAAGTTGCCCAGGCTGGTGAAATGGTTTCTTTGAGGCAGAAACCTGGCCATTTCCCCATCTGCTGGCTCTTGAAATAGTCACTTTCCTTCCACCATCTCTTTTCTTTCGAGTTTGCGTTGGGGCAATGAGTAGCTGAGGTTGTGTTGGTAATAATCTGTCCAGACCAACAATTTAAAACAGAAATAGGATCTGTGCCAGAGGTCCTGACCTATTTGGGTTCTGCCAGTGTGTGTGAGGAGACACTGAGACAAATTCCGTGGCAGTTAGAGAGTGAACTGGCTGCCAAGATGGAGCGGAAGGAGCACTTACCCTTGACCTTCCACAGTCCTGAGGTTCCCAAAATAAAGGGGAACCGGAAATACCAAAGGGTGAGGAGGTACCTAATTGGAGGTCAGATGGGAGGAAGAGGACTTATTTAAAAGCAGGGCTAGACAGAGCATCCTAAACACAGAGAAAATATCACCCTGAAAGTTTTGTTTTGTATAGGAGTAGTGAAAGTACCCACAAATCAAACACACATGGGAATACTTGAAGTAGGGAAGAGTATGACACCCTGGGAGTCAGGGGTTATTTTGGCAGGTAGGCAAAATTTCCCTCATCCTTATAGCCTACCCTCCCCACCAACAAACATCCGAGTGCCTCGATGTCACACCAGAGGCAGCAGCAGTACTTGGATCAGACACACAACTACCTCCGAATGTTCAGTGGCAGCCTCTGTGGCTTTAGCCTCCTAATGCTGATCTGCATGTCCCCACTGAACTGGGTGCAGTTCCTGGTGATCAAGAATGGCCTTGAGCTCAACGCAGGACTCTGGACTTTATGCAACCATGAGCTGTGCTGGAGTCACACACCCAAGTCACCCTGTGAGTGCCAATAAATTAAATGCTGTAGCCCCCACATAGTTCCAGAGCATTCTGCCACATTGGCCCTTGATCTGCTTCCACTAAGATCTTTTGGCCTTCCCGGCTTCAAGTCTAGGATGGATCTTAGACAAGCTGTACATATAGCTAGTCTTTTCTTTGGTATCCCCAGTGTACCCGTTGTCCTATTCCAAGTTGTCTCCAGTTCCAAATAATGAATTGATACTCTCTGGGAAGAATGCTTTTGTCATTTTCAGGTGTTATTGTTAAGCAATGTGATTGATATAATGTGGCTTGCAGAAATAGAAGTGACTGGCTGGGCTCGGTGGCTCAGCCTGTAATCCCAGCACTTTGGGAGGCCAAGGCGAGTGGATTGCCTGAGTCCGTGGGTTTGAGACACACCCGGGCAACTTGGCGAGACCTCGTTTCAACAATAAACCAAAAAAATTTTTGCCAGGTGTAGTAGCGTGCACCTGTAGTTCCAGCTACTTGGAAGGCTGAGGTGGAAGGATCACTGGAGCCCAGCAGGTTGAGACTGTGGTGGCCAGGAGCATGCCACTGCACTCCAGTCTGGGTGACAGAGTGAAACTCCAACTCAAAAAAAAAAAAAATTGGAACTATACAGAGTAGATAAGTATGGCCCCTGTGCAAGGATGACGTGCAAATTCATGAAGAAATTAAAGTAAATGATTTTGTAGCAACAGGCTGACAAGAGCTGTACATATCTTTCAGATACATCTGAAAGAGTAAAACAAAAAGAAACAAACTCGCTGGGCACAGTGACTCACACCTGTCATTCCAGCACTTTGGGAGGCCAAGGTGAGAGGATTGCCTGAGCCCAGGGGTACGAGACCAACGTGGGCAACTTGATGAGACTTTGTCTCTACAGTAAATCAAGAAAAACTAGCCGGATGTGGTGGTGCACACCTGTAGTTCCAGCTACTTGGAAAGCTGAGGCTGAAGGATCACCTGAGCCCAGCAGGTCGAGGCTGCGGTGACTGTGAGCACGCCACTGCACTTCAGCCTGGGTGACAGAGTGAGCCTCTGACTCAAAAAATAAAAATATTAGCATTAAATTAAATAAAAATAAGCTGAGCACAGTAGCTCACGCCTGTAATCCCAGCACTTTGGGAGGTGGAGTTAAGAGGACTGCCTGAGCAACATGGTGAGATCTCATCTCTACAACAAATCATAAAATTAGCCGGGTGTGGTGGCACATGTCTGCAGTTCCAGTTACTTGGAAGGCTGAGGCAGAAGAATTGCCTGAGCCCAGCAGGTTGAGACTGTGGTAGCGTGAGTGTGCCACTGCACTCCAGTCTGGGTGACAGAGTGAGAATCTGACTCAAATAAATAAATAAATAAATAAAATAAAAATAAAAGCTGAAACCAGTTTTGGTCTTCAGGAATGGAAGATGGAACTCAGCTTTGGGACCTTTGGGGTTTTTGTTTGTTTTTGAGGGTTTCTTTTTGGTTTTTGTTTTTGTTTTTAGTTACAGGAATTAAAAAAAAAAAACTATGATGTCAACCAAATGCAGATGTTTCAGATGCTGAAGCTGAGTTTAGTGTGGTTATATAATTTGTTATATATGATTATTACTAGTAGACTTGGTCACTTTGAGAAGTTTAGATGTTTCCATGTTGCAAATCTTCAGTTGTTCCTGCAGAGTTGTAAAAATCTTGCTTATGTCATTTTCAGGATACGAGGAGCTAAGGCGAAGAAGACTATAAAAAGTGTGAATTTACGGTCTTTCTCTCATAGTTGAAAGGAGATTGGATTTTATGTCCTAGATTGGACTTGGTGATTTGAATATTAGTCTCCTTTGAATTATTGTAAGAGAAAGGTGGACTTATTTAGGAAGATTCAGAAGACACTTCTAGACTCCCAAGGACAGGAAGTTCTCTGGGCCTTAAGGGATTTCAGGGGAGGCTGAGATCTCAGACAAAGAAAATCCAGCCAGCCAGGCACTCAGTTTTTCTAGAGTCTCATTGTCACTTTTCTTTGTTTATGCTTTGTTTTATCTCTATAGCTCAGCTCTTCCTGTTTATTAGTGTGTTCAGTGACCAAAGGGTGATATCTCAGTCAAACTTTACATCTTCTTCCTTCAAGCAAGCAAAAGAGGAAATACAAATTTCCAAGCATAAGAATAAAATGGTTCCAGCATAGGTCAGAGTCCCTTCCCTTCCTGGTCCAGTTGGTTATAGTCAGGGGGCTACAGGCAATGGTTCAGGACTACAGACAAGGGCTGTTAGGGCCCACAGGGGATTGTGAAGTAAACACATGCCTGTCACCCTGGACTTTATACAACTCAGTCTGGGCTCATAGTCCTGGCTGGTCACATATACTGCTAATTCTGAATAACTCAGTCTTCAGAAAATGTGATGCTCTTGAATTATGTTATGTATATATTTATTTTGAGTTGGAGTCTCACTCTGTCACCCAGGCTGGAGTGTAGTGGCATGCTCACAGCCACCGCAACCTCTACCTCCAGGGCTCAGGCGATCCTTCTGCCTCAGCTGTCCAAGTAACTGGAACCATAGGTACTTGCCACCACGACCGGCTAATTTCTTGATTTATTGTAGAGACGAGGTCCCACCATGTTGCCCAGGCTGGTCTCGAACCCCTGGGCTCAGGTAATCCTCTCGCCTCTTAGAGTTTGTTTCTATTCATTTTTCTCTTTCATTTGTATCTGATATGGTCAGGATTTGTCAGCCTGTGACTACAAAATGAAGTCACATTTACTTTAATTCCTATATTGTCATGATTTCAAGCCCCAACTTTCCCAATTGCAGGAATTTTATACCCCAAAATCTCCCTTTTTTTCTGAAAGTCCCCAGGGTCCCATATCACTTTTGTAGGAAGAGGTCTGCCGAAGTGATTTCACTCCGCTGTCCTCATCCAAGAGCCACACAACTTCTCCCTTCATCTCTTGGCTCTAGGTCTCTGTTCTCTTTGACTCTGCTGATTGGATTTTGGTAAGAGTACAAGTGGGACAGGCTCAGCCTCACTTTTTGCTACCACATCCCTGACATGGGAAGGATTCTTCCCTTGAGTGTCCTATTAATATTTCACTGAAGATTTAAGAAATAGACGGTAACTTACAATTGTAAGTAGATGTAGCTTTTCTAAGATACCAGAGACCCAGCCATGTCTTCAGTATCCTTTATTAGGTGCCTCCCTGTCTAGCTTCTTTCCCATCCCAGTGTGGCAGGGTCAGTTCATCCCCACCACTGAAAGTTCTTCAAGCACTTTTATGCCTAAGAATCCAAATCCAGCTGGGTGCAGTGGCTAACTCCAGTAATTCCAACACTTTGGAATGGCGAGGCGAGAGGATTGTTGGAGCTCAGGGGTTCGAGACCAGCCTGGGCAACTTGGCAAGATCTTGTCTCTACAATAAATCAAAAAATAAGCTAGACGTGATAGTGCATGCTTGTAGTTTCAGCTGCTTGGAAGACTTGAGGTGGAAAGATTGCCTGAGTCCAGCTGGTCGAGGCTGCAGTGGCTGTGAGCATGCCACTGCACTCCAGCCCAGGCAACAGAATGAGACTCTGACTATAAAAAAAAAATGTTTACGCTGAGCATGGTGGCTTATGCCTGTAATCCCAGCACTTTGGGAGACCAAGGCGAGAGGAATTCCTAAGCCCAAGAGTTCAAGACCAGCCTGGGCAACATTGTGAGAACTTGCCTCTACCATAAATGAAAAAATTAGCCAAGCGTGATGGTGTACCCCTGTAGTTGCAGCTCCTTGGAAGGGTGAGGCAAAAGGATTGCCTGAGCCCCACAGGTCGAGGCTATGGTAGCTATGAGGGTACCACTGCCCTCCAGCCTGGGTGACAGAGTCAGACTCCAACTCAAAATTAATAAATAGAGCCGGGTTCGGTGGCTCAGCCTGTAATCCTGCGCCTTTGGGAGGCTGAGGTGAGTGGATTGCCTGAGCCCGCGGGTTCGAGACCCGCCTGGGCAGCAAGACCTCACCTCTACAATAAATCAAAAAATCAGCTGGGAGTGGTAGCGCACGCCTGTAGTTCCAGCTATTTGGAAGGCTGAGGTGGAAGGATCGCCGGAGCCCAGCAGGTCGAGGCTGCGGTGGCCGGGAGCGGCCAATGCACTCCAGTCTGGGTGACAGAGTGAGACTCCAACTCAAAAAGAAAAAAAAAAAAAAAATTAATAAATAAAAATAAAAATGATGTTTGCAACAGATATCTGGGGAAAATCTTACCATATAATTCTAAGGAAAAAAACCCCACGTGAACTTATTATCATATTTGTTATGTACGGAGCATAGAAATATAATAGAATAGCTAAAATAAAACGTTAACAATGGTTGTCTCTAGGCAGTGGGATTGTGGCTGACTTAACTCCTGCTTTTTTATACTCTTGGAGTCTTTTCAATATTTGTATTGAACACTTATTACTTTTAGAACTAGAATTAAAAATAAAAAGTTTCCATCAGTTTTGTGATTAGACACACCTCTTATAAACTAGTTTATATTTAAATAAGTGCACCTGGAAGTTTTGTTTGGTTGGTTTTTTTTTTGAGTTGGAGGGGACCCGAAGGTGTTGCCCCTGTATATTTTTCTTTCATAGCAAAGAAATTCCAAGTAACAAAGAGCTAGGTGAAGTCCTCCAGGATTGTAGGGAGAAGAAAAAAACTAGGAAAGAGGATGTCATTTAGCGAGCTCTGATTCATTCTCCTTTCTTTTTACTCCTTCTCTAAGACTCCATCTGGCTTTTTTGTGTTCTTTTTTTGAGCAGGAGTCTCACTCTGTTGCCCAGGCTGGAGTGCAGTGGCACACTCATGGCCACTGAAGCCTCGGCCTGCTGGGCTCAGGCAATGTTTCTGCCTCAGCCTTCCAAATAGTTGGAACTACAGGCGTGTGCCACCATGCCCAGCTAGTTTTAAATTTATGGTAGAGATGAGGTCTCGCCCTGTTGCCCAGGCTGGTCTCGAACCTGTGAGCTTAGGCAATGCTCTCACCTCCGCCTCCCAAAGTGCTGGGATTACAGACATGAGCCACCATGCCTGGCCTATCTGACTTTCTTTTTTTTTGAGTTGGAGTCTCACTCGGTCACCCAGACTAGAGTGCAGTGGCCGCTTCTGACCACCACAGCCTTGCCTGCTGGGCTCCAGCGATCCTTCCGCCTCAGCCTTCCGAGTAGCTGGAATTACAGGCATGCGCTACCACGCCCGGCTGATTTTTTGATTTATTGTAGAGATGAGGTCTCGCTGCCCAGGTGGGTCTCGAACCCATGGGCTCAGGTAATCCACTCACCTCAGCCTCCCAAAGGTGCGGGATTAAAAGGGGAGGTTCGTCACTAGAACAACCAAGACTTTCCTTTCTTCCTCTTGCAGATTATCTCCAATATTCCAGGGCCTTCTTCCTCATCTCCATGCTCTCCATACTCCTTGGCCTTGGCTGGCTCTTCAGCTCCTGCCTCCCTAGAAGGGGAAGCATGACTACCAACTTGGATCTGAAGGTATCCATGCTCAGCTTCATCTCAGGTACAGACCTAGACAAGCAGAGTAATGCCATAGTAAAATAGTCAAGATAACAAGATTTCTTGGCTGGGCTCAGTGGCTCAGCCTGTAATCTCAGCACTTTGGGAAGCCGAGGCGAATGGATTGCCTGAACCGGGGGGTTCGAGACCCGCTTGTCCAACTTGGTGAGACCACATCTCTACAATAAATCAAAAATTAGCCGAGCGTGGTAGCGCACGCCTGTAGTTCCAGCTACTTGGAAGACTGAGGCAGAAGGGTCACTGGAGCCCGGCGGGTTGAGGCTGCAGTGGCTGGAAGCGTGCTACTGCACTCCAGTCTGTGCAACAGAGCGACACTCCAACTCAAAAACAAAACAAGGGCGGGCTCGGTGGCTCAGTCTGTAATCCCAGCACTTTGGGAGGCCGAGGTGAGTGGATTGCCTGAGCCCGCGGGTTCGAGACCTGCCTTGGCAACTTGATGAGACCTCATCTCTACAATAAATAAAAAAAAATTAGCCGGGCGTGGTAGCGCGTGCCTGTAGTTCTGGCTACTTGGAAGGCTGAGGCGGAAGGATCGCCGGAGCCCAGTGGGTCGAGGCTGCGGTGGCCAGGAGCGGCCACTGCACTCCAGTCTGGGCGACAGAGTGAGGCTCCAACTCAAAAAAAAACCAAAAAAAAAAAAGAAAACAAGATTTATCTGTGGGGCTTTCATACTCTTTTTCTCATCTCTTTGCTCTTGTTCAGTGTCCCACCAAGTTGCCAGCTATCTGCCCTACTTTAATTTATTTGGTTTTACTTTTTTTATTCATTAATTTTTTTTTTTTTTAGTTAGAGTCTCACTCTGTCACCCAGGTTGGAGTGCAGTGGCACACCTACAGTCACCATAACCTCATCCTGCCGGGCTCAGGTGATCCTTCTGCCTCAACTTTACAAGTAGCTGGAACTGCAGGCACGCGCCACCACACCCAGCTAATTTTTTATTTATTGTAGTGATGAGGTCTCACTAAGTTGCCCAGCTGGTCTCGAACTCATAGATTCAGGCAATCTTCTCACCTCAGCCTCCCAAAGTGCTGGGATTATAGGCGTGAGCCACAGAGCCTAGCCTATTTTATTTTTTGAGTCTCACTCTGTCATCCAGGCTAGAGTGTAATAGCATACTCACAGTCACTGCAGCCTCGACCTGCTGGGCTCAGTTGATCTTTCTGCCTCAGCCTTCCTGGTGCAGAACTATAGGCAATGCACCACCACGCCCAGCTAATTTTTTGACTTATTATAGAGACAAGGTCTTACCCTGTTGCCCAGGCTGTTCTCGAATCTGGGAGCTCCGGCAATCCTCTCACCTTGGCCTCCCAAAGTGCTGGAATTACAGGTGTGAGCCACCATGCCTGGCTATGCCCTATTTTATTATGTAGAATTTACCTCAGCTGATTTCACCAGGACAGAAGCCCTTTTGGGTCTCATCTTGGTCAATCCCCAATTTTCATCTTTTTTTTTTTTTTTTTTGAGTTGGAGTCTCACTCTGTTGCTCAGGCTGAAGTGCAATGGCACGGTCACAGCCACCACAGCCTCGACCTGCTTGGTTCAGGAGATCCTTCTGCCTCCGCCTTCCAAGTAGCTGGAACTACAGGCATATGCCACCATGCCTGGCTAATTTTTTGATTTATTATAGAGATGAGGTCTCACCAAGTTGCCCAGGCTGATCTCGAACCTGTGACCTCAGGCAATCTTCTCACCTCAGCCTCCCAAAGTGCTGGGATTATAGGCGTGAGCCACCGTGCCCTGCTAATTTTTATTTTTTTATTTTTCTTTTCAGAGTCAGAGTCTCACTCTGTCACTCAGGATGGAGTGCAATGGCATGATCACATCTCACCACAGCCTCAACCTCCTGAGCCTCCTCCTCTTTCTACCTCAGCCTTTAGAGTAGCTGAATCTACAAGTGCCACAAATGCCTGGCTAATTTTTTGGTTTTGTGTAGAGATGAGGTCTTGCTCTGTTGCCCAGACTGGTCTCGAACCCCTGAACTCAACTAATCCTCCCACCTTGGCTTCCCAAAGCTGGGATTACAGGCATGAACTGCTGCACCTGGTCCCCAAGTTTTTATTCTTTTGATCCTTTCTTTTTTTTTTTTTTTTTTTTGAGTCGGAGTCTCACTCTGTCACCCAGACTGGAGTGCAGTGGCCACTCCCGGCCACCACAGCCTCGACCTGCTGGGCTCCAGCGATCCTTCCACCTCAGCCTTCCGAGTAGCTGGAATTACAGGCGCGCGTTACACGCCCAGCTGATTTTTTGATTTATTGTAGAGATGAGGTCTGGCCAAGTTGCCGAGGCGGGTCACGAATGATCCTTTCTTACACATGGCCCCTGGAGGTAGAAGAAGAGCTGGGGATGGCGGTCAAGGCCAACCGAACATGCAAATAGGTTGTGATATCTTTCCTTCTGGTTCTAGCCACCTGCTTGTTCATCTGCCTCAAGCTGTTTGCCACACAGGTTCACTGGCATACTGGGGATGACATGGAGTCAGATTTCCTGTGGACCTATTATCTTAGCTGGTTGAGTGGCCTCCTATACATGTTTGCTGGTAAGCCAATCCCCGCCCCATGCCTGAAAGATGGAAAGGAGCCGAGCACAGAGGTTCACGCCTGTAATCCCAGCACTTTGGGAGGCAGAGGTGAGAGGATTGCCTGAGCCCATGGGTTCAAGTTCAGCCTGGGCAACTTGGCGAGACCTTATCTTACAATAAATAAAAAAATTAGCGAGGTGTGATGGTGCATGCTTGTAGTTACAGTTATTTGGAAGGCTGAGATGGAAGGATCACCTGAGCCCAGCACGTTGAGGCAGTGGCCGTGATTGTACCACAACACTCCAGTCTGGGCAACAGAGTGAGACTCCGACTCAAAAAAAAAAAAAGAAAAAAGAAAAAAGATAAAGATAGAAAGGAAAATCATCTCTGGAAAGGGAAGGTGGAATCTAGGAGAAACAGTTCCTTTTGAGATAATTTATACATGGAAAGTCAGTGTGGCATGGTGAAAAACCATGGATTGTAGAGACTCAAAACCTAGAATTAGTAACCTCTTCTTTCAAAAAGTGAGGCACAGACAGTTTGAATAACTTGCCTAAGACCACACAGGAAATAGTGGAACTATGATATGATTCTAGGAGGTTCAAATTTTGTCCTAACCAGTCTAAGAAATCCTGCAAGGCAGTGAGAGCACAGCACGGTAAAGTGACTGTCCTAGGAGAGAGAAGGATGCCTTTTGTGTGTTTGTTTGTTTTGGGGGTTTTTTTTGAGTTGGAGTTTTACTCTGTCACCCAGGGTGGAGTGCAGTGGTATGCTCATGGCCACCACAACCTCGACCTGCTGGGCTCTGGCTATCCTCTCACCTAAGCCTTTCAAATAGCCGGGACTACATTCACGTAGTTGCCAGAGTCCAGCAGGTTGAGGCTGCAGTGGCTGGGAGTGTGCCACTGCACTCCAGTCTGGGCGAGGGAGTGAGACTCCAACTAAAAAAAAAAAAAAATTAGCTGGACGTGGTAGCGCGCGCCTGTAGTTCCGCCTACTTGGAAGGCTGAGGCAGAAGGACTGCTGGAGCCCAGCAGGTCAATGCTGCAGTGGCCGTGAGCATGGCACTGCACTCCAGCCTGGGTGACAGAGTGAGACTCCAACTCAAAAGAAAGGGGGTGGGGCAACCCCTTCGGGTCCCACTGTGGGAACTTCTCTGTCCTCTCAATAAATCCAACTTTCTCACTTTCAAAAAAAAAAAAAAAAAGGATGACTTTTGAACTGGGTACTAAAGGATGAATAAGAACATAATTTTTTTATTTTTTATTTTTTGAGTTGGAGTCTCACTCTGTCGCCTGGGCTGGAGGGCAGTGGCATGCTCACGGTCACCTCAGCCTCGACCTCCTGGGCTCAGGTGTTCCTTCCGCTTCAGCCTTCCAAGTGGCTGGCACTACAGGCATGCGCCACCACATATAGCTAATTTTTTGATTATTGTAGAGACAAGGTCTCGCCATGTTGCCCAGACTGGTCTCGAACTCCTGGGCTCAGGCAATCCTCTTGCCTCCACCTCCCAAAGTGCTGGGATGACAGGCGTGAGCCACTGCACCCGTTTGAATAAGAACCTAAAAGCCTAAAGATCATTGTCTATTGAACTTCACTTCCAATTCTTCTTTTCCCCTAGGAATCATCTCATTTCTAAACTACCTGTCTTCTCAATCTACTACCTCCCATCAAAGTGCCACTGTGATTCCAACAGAGAAGTCAAGGCTGGGCTTTGGTCCAGTGACTACAGTGTTGCCTGCTAAAGATAAGGGAAAGGGAGAGAGAAAACATCCCAGAGCAGGATTGTGATGGTGATAGGAAAACTTAACCAGTGCTTGGCTTAAAAGGGAGCAGAAGCTAAGTTGGGAATGATTGTGTAAATTCTAGGAAAACTTCCTCATATCATGTCCACATTGCTGAAGAAGATAGCATTAAAGCTGATGAGATGTCTTTTCATGTGTGCGTTGGATCCAAAATACATATGAAAGTTACAAAGAAAGCAATGAAAACTCACTTAAGGGAAAATTTTTAAAAGAAAACATTGATATTTAGGGTCATAAATGAAAGAAACTAGTGATAGACTTGGTGTGGTGGCTCAGGTTTGTAATCCCAGCACTTTGGGAGGCCAAGGCAGGAGGATCACTGAGAAGCCAAGACCGCAGAATCCTCTTACCTTGGCCTCCCAAAATGCTGGGATTATAGTAGTGAGCCACCATGCCTGGCTTGGGTAGTAGATATTATCTCCATCGGTGTTTATTTCATTTATGGTAATGATCTCAAATTCAGATTCAGCAGTATTGTCCAAGGGCCTTCTATCCTGAGTGTACCCAAAGGCACATATAATAAAGAAAATTCCAAGTAGAATGACTTGATATTCTTCTCTAAGCATCATTCTGGTCCATGAGATCCCTGACACACAGAGAAATCTCGGGTCCATACACTACATCTCTCACTCATTTCTTTCTTTTTTTGTACAGATGGGGGTCTCACAATGTTGCCTAGCTTATCTCAAACCTCTGGCCTCAAGCGATCCTCCTGCCTTGTCTCTACAATAAATAAAAAAAAATTAGCTGGACGTGGTGGCATACACCATGTGGTTCCAGCTATTGGGAAGGGTGAGATGGAATGATTACCTGAGCCCAGAAGATCGAGGCTGTGGTGGCCGTGAGCCTGCCATTGCATTCTAGCTTGGACGGTCAGAGTGAGACTCTGACTCAAAAAGACCAAAAAACAAAAATCTACTACCCAGAGGAGTTGCGAGGTGCTGGGTAGATTTTGGGGAATCCATGAGGTCCTACTTCCTATGAGGACTGGTAATTTGAAAACCTTATACTCTATTATGTAAAACCAATGCTTCTCCCTTGGCGGGAAGATATTTAAATACTTAACCAGGCATCCACAAACTCCCTGGAATTCTATGCAAAACTCGTGTAAGCATTTTTGTGTGAAGAGAGCCAGGGATGCCATGAGTCTTGACAGGCCCTTTTGATTCCTTAAGCATCAATTATGTTTTACCAAGTCATAGGGGTTAAAGGGCTTCCTTCAGCATAGCTTTTCTTTCCAAGTAGAAAGACTCTCCATGTTTTTGTTTTTGTTTTTTTTTGAGTTGGAGTCCCACTCTGTCGCCCAGACTGGAGTGCAGTGGCCGCTCCCGGCCACCGCAACCTCGACCTGCTGGGCTCCGGCGATCCTTCCGCCTCAGCCTTCCGAGTAGCTGGAATTACAGGCGCGCACTACCACGCCTGGCTAATTTTTGATTTATTGTAGAGATGAGGTCTCGCCAAGTTGCCCAGGCAGGTCTCCAACCTGCAGACTCAGGCAATCCACTCACCTCAGCCTCCCAAAGGCGTGGGATTACAGGCTGAGCCACCGAGCCCGGCTGACTCTCCATGTTTTATATGCCCTATAAAATTAAGCAAGAGGGAAGGGGATGATATTCCTTGGCAATTGTATAAGTCTTTTGATAACTAAAAAGCCCTTTCAAACTCAGACCACATTTTATGCATGTTGGCCCTTCTTGCTAGTAGGTGACTATTGTTATGGCAGAACTGCTGATGCTTCCTTACTTCATTTTAGATGCTCATTTCAGACTCTTCAGGTGTTCAGGTGTTTTTTTTTTTTGAGTTGGAGTCTCACTCTGTCACCCAGACTGGAGTGCAGTGGCTGCTCCCCGCCACCGCAGCCTCGACCTGCTGGGCTCCACGATCCTTCTGCCTCAGCCTTCCGAGTAGCCGGAATTACAGGCGCGTGCTACCACACCCAGTTAATTTTTTATTTATTGTAGAGATGAGGTCTCACCAAGTTGCTCAAGCAGGTCTCGAACCCGCGGGTTCAGGCAATCCACTCACCTCAGCCTCCCAAGGCGTGGGATTATAGGCTGAGCCACCGAGCCTGGCTCACAATTTTTAAATAAATAAATTCTAGGGGTTTTTTTTTTGGGGGGGGTCCTGCCTCATATTGATGATTCACTTGAATAAATTTCTAGAATAGCAAATATTGCTTTTTGTCTTCTGCCACCCCAATCCTCCAAAATCTTCTTTTCCTTGTCTGCTCTTTCACCTTTCCAGCTTCATCTTTGCAACTCTTTTCTGTGATGACTGCTCCCAAGCCACACTGGTTTTCTTTTTGTCTCAGGAATGTTCTAAACTTGCAAATGCTATTCTTCAGCTGCTCTTTCTTCTCCTGGCGAAACTCTACTTTTGAAATCTTAAATTAAATATTACTTCCTCAGTGAAGATTTCCCTGACACACCACCTCAGCATGGATTGAATCATCTCTCTGCTATACACTCACAGTATTCTACACTTTTCCTCCATAGCATTTAACACAATTGTAGTTAAGTAATTATTTGTATGATCTTCCTCCTCCACTAAATTACAAGCTCCAGAATATAGGGCATGAGTCTGTCTTGTTTATCTCAGACCCATAGTAAACACTCAAGATATATTTGTTAAATGTATACCTGAGGGCCAGGCATGTTGGCTCACACCTGTAATCCCAGCACTTCAGGAAGCTGAGGTGGGAGGATTGCCTGAGACCAGACATTTGAGACCAACCTAGGAACACAACAAAAAACGAAAAAATTAGCTGGGCATAGTGGCACATGCTTGTCTCATTCTTAGGCCATTGGTATAGATTTACACAGCTGTATATGATGTCCTCAATATTTATCACTCAGAAATTGGCCCTGGCTTGTTTTATTTTGATCTCATTTCCTTTTCATTTATATATATATATATGTATATATATATATACACATACATATGTATATATATATGTGTATATATATATATATATATACATATGTATATATATATACATATGTATATATATATATATAGTTGGGATCACACTTTGTCATCCAAGCGGGAGTACAGTGACACCACAGTGGCCTTCAGTGTGCCACTGCACTCCAGCCTGGGTGACAGATTGAGACTCCAACTCAAAAAAAAAAAATTAGGCTGAGGGGAGAGGATTGCCTGAGCCCATGAGTTCAAGACCAGCCCAGACAACTTGGTGAGACCTCATCTTTATAGTAAATCAAAAAAATAAGCCAAGTGTGGCAGTGCGCACCTGTAGTTCCAGCTACTTGGAAGGCTGAGGCAGAAGGATTGCCTGAGCCCAGCAGGTTGGGGCTGCAGTGGCTGTGAGCAGCGTGCCACTGCACTCCAGCCTTGGCAACAGAGCGAGACACCAACTCAATAAAAAAGAAAAAAAAAAAAGAAAACACATATATGTAACATTTATATATACTCATATATATATCAAATTATATGTATATACATATATAAACGTTTAAATGTAAAGAATGCACACATATTCATGCATAAATTTTATATATATAAAAATCTAAAAGTGAAAATGAATTGTATATGTATATATATAACCATATAATTATATGTGTATATATAAATATATAAAACATAAAACTTCAATTAAAAGAAAGACAGGACCGAACACAAGGACTCACACCTATAATCCCAGCATTTTGGGGGGGCCGAGGTGAGAGGATTGCCTAGCCCTTGGGTTCGAGACCAGCCTGATCTCTACAATAAATCAAAAAAATTAGTTGGGCATGGTGGCACTCCTGTAGTTCCAGCTACTTGGAAGCCTGAGGTGGAAGGATCACTGAGTCCAGCAGGTTGAGGCTGCGGTAGTTGTGAGCATACCACTGCACTCCAGCCTGGGTGAGAGTGAGACTCCACCCCCCCCCCCAAAAAAAAAGAAGACAGAAATGGTAAAAAACCAACCCTATCCCCTTACCTTCAACACTGCTTTCTCTACTTCACACTGCATATCACTAGGTTAAATTTCTTTCTTTTTCTTTTCTTTCTTTCTTTATTTTTTTTGAGTTGGAATCTCACTCCATCGCTCCCATCCACCGCAGCCTCAGCCTGCTAGGCCCCGGCGATCCTTCTGCCTCAGCCTTCCAAGTAGCTGGAACTACAGACGCGCACTACCCTGCCCGGCTAATTTTTGATTTTTTGTAGAGATGAGGTCTCACCAAGTTGCCCGCGGGCTCAGGCAATCCACTCACCTCGGCCTCCCAAAGCGCTGGGATTACAAACCGAGACACCTAGCCCAGCCTTTTTTCTTTTTTTCTTTTTTTTGAGTGGGATTCTCACTCTGTTGCCCAGGCTGGAGTGCAGGGGAACAATAATGGCCACCACAGCTTCAATGGGTTGAGCTCAAGTGATTCTTTCTTTCTTTCTTTCTTCCTTCCTTCCTTCCTTCCTTCCTTCCTTCCTTCCTTCCTTCCTTCCTTCCTTCCTTCCTTTCTCTCTCTCTCTCTCTCTCTCTCTCTCTCTCTCTTCTCTCTCTCTCTCTCTTCTCTCTCTCTTTTTTCTCTCTCTCTTGCCAAGTTGCCCAAGCTGATCTCGAACCCCTGGGCTCAAGTAATCCTCTCACCTCCACCTCGCAAAGTGCTGGGATTATAGGCATGAGTCACTGTGGCCTGCTACAAGGTTAAATTTCTAAAATGCTAGCCTTTCATCAGCTTGTTAAAACGCGGAATTCTTGGCGAGGCACAGTGGCTCATGCCTGCAATCCCGGCACTTTTGGAGTCCAAGGCAAGCGGGTTGCTTGAGCTCAGGAGTTTGAGACCAACCTGGCCAACATAGTGTGAGACACTGCATCTACAAAAAATAAAAAATCAGCCAGGCATGGTGGTGCACGATTGTAGTTCCAGGTGCTCAGGAGGCTGAGGCAGAGAAGAATCACCTAGGCCTGGAGGTTGAGGTTACAGTGAGCTAGGATCGTGCTGCTGCACTCCAACCTGGGTAAGAGTGAGACCTTGAATCAAAAACAAA